GTATGTAAATATGCAAAGTGAGAATGAACCTTTCGCTAGAATGTAGGAAGGTACAGTCACCATTTTCCAGCTCTACGTAGCTTACTATACCCACGAAAAAAAAGGAAAAAGTAAAAAGAAAAATAAGAATGGATCTTCCGCTAGAAACAGGGAAGATTTATTCCTCCCCCTTCTTTGACCTCCCCTCCAATGCGCAACCCTTGAGTCTGCACAGCGCTCAATCCGCTATTCTAAAGCCCAAACGAAGGCTACCATTGGACTCGCCACCTGTCAATCCAACAGTTTTACATTTTTACTCCCTCGAGTCTATGGAGAAACGAGTAAGCTACCTTTTTCTCACTATACCAACCAGCTCACCACAACAGAAAAATTCCTACGAGAAATGGAAGTTGAAAAAACATTCCATAAAAAAAAATCCTTCATATTTACAAATTATCATTCCAATCTTCGTTAAATTCTAATATTTCAAATTCAATTTCATAAGTTCCCGTCTTAATATGAGCTTTCCCTTCCAACTACATCTATTTGTTCAAGATGGCATGAAAATCTAGAAGAGTTTATGAAATGTTTTAATTAGACATTCATTCTACAACAACAAATATCTTCCAATTTAGATTGATTAACATATTTATGACCGGAATCCTTACTTAGAATGAGAGTCCAATTAAAATATTTCATGAAATCATCCAGACTTTCATTCCATCTCTAGCATTCAGTTCAAATAAGAAGGGATACCCCATTATTGGAAGGAAAGTTTTCAAGTAAGACGAAAAATTTTAAAATTAGAATGACATTTTTGAAGTTGGAATGAAAATTTTCAATTTATAATGTAATTTTTCTCTAGAATTTTTTTAATTCCGGGAAGTTTTTTTGTTGCACCCCGCCACAATATCTGACCGCGCCACTCCTTTCGCGGCCCTTCAGAACCCCGGTCTTACCCCTTGGTTCGCCCGATTCCCCTGAGGATGAGGTGAGAATTCTGGTCCTTGCTCTGCCATAGTCCAACTTTATTTCGCCACCATTGCCCTACTGTGCACCATCTTTTTCCCCTGACTCCCTCTATATTAACTCTTTAGCTGATCCGACTTCAAAACCGGGGTCGCCTGCCTCAAAACCCCCCATCTCTATCCTTCGTTTAGCGGACTCTGTCGAGGATCGCACGATCTATCCGTCTCCCACTCCGCCACGACCACTCTCTTCTGTCTTCTTCCTTTAATGCATTTGTGTCATCTCCCATCCGGATTCATCCCCTTCTCTCTTAGCATAGTCGTCCCCGTTGTTATCATTACTCGCATCGTACCACACGGCCGCACGGTAGTATAGGTGAGCCAATTCAGCAACGTTGACTGTCTTGTAAGGACTTCGGGGAGAGAGCCCGCAACTTGACGATTGGGGTTTAGTCTCTCGCTCATCACTTCTAGAGTGGACGATCGTTGTGTCCGGCAACACCGTGAGCTTACCCACAACGCCCCGAGCTGCTCTGCCTTAGTGCGGTTCTGCCCTTTCCAGGTCGTGCCACACGACTCACGACTTGAACTGGTTGCGACTTCTGACAGAATTTGCCCCTTCCCCTTCCTAGCCTCCTTCTGTCCCATGTCGTCCTGTACAGTGGGTCGTACTAACCTTCTATATCGTCCGAACTTTTAACAGATGTCTTGTAGGACTGAAGCTTAGTCGATACTCCCGGTTACCCCGAAGGTAGCGTCAAAGTAAGCCACCTATTAGACGGTGCAGTTAGTTTTTTGCCTCTATACCCTAGTCCGACAAACGATTTGCATGTCATTATCGCTGCAACCCTTCACCAGAGTTTCCTCTCGCCTCGCCCGACCCCAGAAAGTAGTCAGCGCTGAAGCGCGTAGCCTATATTTGGCCATTATGGCAGCTGCGACGATGGGCGGAAGGGTGTTGGGCTCTGCTTGGAAGCCCTTAGCGTGAGCCTAGCTGAAGCAGGTTCTGCTGCAGCATTTAGTAGTAGCAGCGACCAAGTGAAAAAAGTCCCATGTGTGCAAGGCCATACCGCGACCTCCGCCATGGTGCCCTCGGCCGCTCCCCAGGCATAGCTCAACACCAATGGGGCCCGACGGGCATGCCCACACTTAAACCTCTCACAACAGATCATGGTTGGCAGACGGTGCACCCGCGGCAACCCCTGCCGCTCAGGTTTCTTCCGCTTCGTGGGCTAACCATCCACCGGCTTGCATAAACGTCGACTTCCTCGGCCTGCGTCTTAAGACAGCGGGACCAAGGACCCTCACCAACATCCCAAACACGCAAGGAACCCATAGGTCAGCGAAAAAGAGGCGCGTGCTCAAGGCCCTCGACCGTCGTGACGACCTCCAGATCCAACGTCGCGCCTGAGTCAAGGAGCACCGGAGCAAAATAATAATAACCCAACAATAAATAACAAAATATTAAAAAACTTTTAATCGTCGGAATATGACGAACGGGGAAAACAAATGCTAGTATCGTTCCGACGCTGCCGAGGGCAAAACCAAGGGGCATAGCCCCGCTGTCCCTCAACCCCTAGGCTCTTCCATCTTCGCTCCGATACTCCTGTGCTGCCGCCGCTGGCCTCGATCCCTGAATCTTCTAGTTTGAAGTCCGATATTGTACCCAATAGTGCTAGGCGCAAAGCTGGGTCTAGTATTGACGGACACCTATAAATAAGCGCATCACTCGCGGTTAATGACCACCTGAAATTTCAGAATGAAAGATTCTGAAGTGGTCTGAAACCGCTAAAAT